ACACACACACATACACACACACACACACACACACACACACACACACACACACACACACATGTATGTATATATGTGTGTGTGTGTTTATATATGTACGTATGTGTGTGTGTGTGTACATAAAAATATATACAAATACCTTCCCTGAGAGAGAGAGACGGAGCCATCCAACATTTCCCTCCGTGCTGCATCGTAACACAAGTATGAAAGCAACGGTGAAGGTGAACTAAAATGATGATAACGTATCTGATAGAGAAGGACCGTGAAAATGCTATGACTATAAACACCAAAATAGAATGAGTTTGGAAAGAGGATCATAACATTCGGATAAACTATTTGATTTTGTTTATAGATCGTTCCTCTCACCCTTGGCTTTGAGATTGAAACTAATGGTGGCTGTGAGATACTTCATTATTCATATTGATACATAGTGAATTATTATCATTATTGTGCTTATTATGAGTATTCTTATTGTGAGTTATTACTGTAATTATTATCATCGTTTATTACTATAATTATTATCATTATAATTATTACTATTGTCATTATCATTAACATCACCATTATTAACATTGTTATCATTATCCTTATCCTTATTATTATTATTATTATTATTATTATTATTATTATTATTATTATTATTATTATTCATCATCATCATCATAATCATCATTATCATAACTATTATTACTATCATAATTATCTTTATTATCATCACCATCATCATTATCATTATTATCATTATTATTGTTGTTAATGATGCTGACAATATCGATGATAGAGATAATAATGATGATAATAATATAATAAATATAATAATAATGATAATAATAATAATAATAATAATAATAATAATAATAATAATAATAATAATGGTAACATAAAAATGACAATAATAATTATTATTATTATCGCCATTATTATTATTATTATTATTATTATTATTATTATTATCATTATTATTTTCATTATTATCATCATTATTTTCATTATTATTAGCATTATTACCATTATTATTATCATTATCATTAGCAATAGCATTATTAGCATTTTATCATCATCAATATCAACATCATGTTTATTAATATCATCATTACCATACCGTTGTCATCATCTTCATCATTACCATTATAATCATTATAATAATTATCACTATTTTTATCAGTATCATTGCTATTATCATTACTATTATTTTTGTTATTATTATTATCATTATTATTATTATTATTATTATCAATATTATAATTGTCATTACTGTTATAATCACCATTATTTTTCAGCATTCTTATCACTATTATCATTTCCATCATTAGTTTCATTATTGCTAACAGTATTCCTATTAATATCATTATCCTCATTATTATCATCATAATCATCATCATCGTCATTAATACTTATATTATTATCCTTATTACTATCATTATTGATGTCATTTTTATAAGCATTGCTATTATTACTATTATTATTATCATTATTATTATTACCACTGGCACTATTATTGATATCATTATCGCTATTATCAGCATTATCATTATCCTTATTATAATGATTATAATTGCCATTATCAATATCACTATGGACATCTCCAAAATTATCATATAATAACATTATGAAAATTGTTATTGCATATGTGAGTATGTGTGAGTGTGTTTATGCCTATGTATACGTGAGGTAGTCGAAGAAATATATGACAATATTAGCCTTAAAACGTGCACAAAGTGGGTTAATTTATGAAAATGAAAGAAAAATGACTAATCTATTTGAAACTGGAAGGTACTGTGGTGACGAGGTGCTATTGGCACTATAGAAGACATATAGAAACATTGAAAAAAAAAGAAAAAAATGAAAAAGACTGAAATAGTGTTGTGTTGTGACTGCCTCTTCGCACAAGAGACACTCAGCTTCGCTCAAATAAGTGTATTTCTTTATTTATTTTCCACATCTGTTTATGGCTCAGTGTGTAAGTGTGTGCGTACATGTTCTTTGTCCAGGAGACTTTGTGTTGTCTTTGTGCAGTATAATGATCTTTTCTTTCTTTGTTGTTGTTTTTTTCGGTAGAGTCCATTTCCTAGCGCTATATTGCAGGTTTGACCAAAACGCTATGAAAGAAGGAATCTGTTTTGGTCTTCTCACGCTAATATTGTTGATATGTGATTCATCATTTTCAATTTCCTTTTTGTGCGTGTGTAATAAATCTTGATAAGAAACGATAAAGCCAGAAATAAAGGTGGTATAGAGATTGATTCTACAATCCCAAGTATTTGGTTTCTTTAATATATTGATGTCATATTTGTTAACATCGTCGTGTTTATGTAACATGTGCGACCACGACGCTAATGTGAACTGCAAACGTCACTGATAAAACCAAGCAATAAATTACCCACACACCACTCCAACACGGACGCCAACAACCGCAAGCAAATCACGACTGCGAAGCCACGCATTATACCCCCCTCCCCCACCCACCCCCCACCCCAGCATTCCACAAGCACCAATCACATACCAGCTGAGATACGGAGCAAACAGAACGGTCCATAATCCCGCGGAGGCCACTGCCAGGTCCTGAGTGGTCTGGAAGCCTTTAAAGTGGGACAGGCAGATGGTCTCTCCTCATGATATTCAAGGGAGGTCCGAGCTGAGTCTGAGGTCCTCCACGCGCCGCATTGTAAGGCCACTACACCCACTCGGATCCACTAATGTGTTTGGCAATGAGAAATTATATCTTGTGGATATCAAGAAAGGAGAATTGATCATATCAAGATAACACGGAGATAGCAGCGACGTTACGTACCATTAGGAAGGTTAACGTAAAAAAAAAATGTATATCTAGGAGTGTAGTGAATAACAGTGGCATATTTGATATTATTTTTATCATGTAATAGGCATGCACTGAAAAAAAATAATTGAAATCCACAAAAAAAATGGACACACATCGGCCCATAAAACACAGCAAGTAGTATGTTAATGACCACTTCATTAACAATAATTAGTGAATTTTCTAGTAATATGACAGCAGACGACACTTTCCCGACTTAATTGATTGTTTTTCTCCCCTCTCTGTCTCTCTTCTTTCCTTTCTTTATCAGTGTCTCTTCTCTCGCTTTCTCTCTCTCCTCTCTGCCCATCTGTCTCTTCCTTTCTCTTCTCTTGTTGTCTCTCTTCTTGTGCTTTCTCACTTATTCTCTGTTTCATACTTTTACCGTATTACTGGTGGGAGTATTATCATTGTTTTGATTAACTTCATTATAGTCATCATTACTGTTATCATTATTATTATTATTATTGTTATCATTATTAGTAGTATTACTATTAGTAGTATCATCTTCATCATTATTATTATTTTCATTATCATCATTACTGTTTTTGATTATCATTGTAATCATTATCACTGGCACTATTATAATTATTTTTTATTATTATTATCATTACTATTATCTTTTTATCATTATCATTATTATTATATTGATTATAACTATCATTAGCATTATTATTATCATAAATATCATTATTATCATTATTATTTTTATTACTATCATTATCATTATTTTTATAATTATAACTATTTTTTCATTATCATTATAATTATTATCATCACTATCATTTTTATTACCTTCACCATCAACTTTAACTTTATTATTACCATTATCATTTGATTTCTGTTATCATAACAATTGCTATCATTATCATTAGTATATTACTATAATTATTTTGTTTTCATTATTTTTTTATCATTATAATTATTACTGGAATCATCATCATTAACATTACTACTATTAATGATATTAATAATAATGATAACAATAATAATAATTATATCAGTAATAATAAAACTAATACCCTTGTTATTATTGTCATTATCATTATCATCATTATTGCCTCTAATATTTTAATTTCTTTTCAACACTTACTATTCATCATATCATTCTATTTTATTTTATTTATGTTATTTACCTCTTCGATATATTTTTCTTTTCTTCATCTTCTTGTTTCTTCTCCCTTTTCTTTCGCTATTCTCCTCTTCCTCTTTGCAATCAGCTTGTGAAAAAGGTGCCTAAAAGATACAATAGAAAAAAAGTGTTTTAGCGTTAAAAAAAGGAAAAGATAAAAAAAATAATAATAAAATTAAAAACCGCTATGGATCATATCATATTGATTTGTACTTATTTTTTTCTAAAGATAATAATAATTATAGAGATTATTAGGGAACAAATTACACTGAGGCGTTTGTATTGGTGTCCCTTTATTTTGTGTAGCGTAGAAGCTTCCTTGGCCGCATAGAAAACGGAGTGAAAGTGACAACCCGAAAAGAAAACGGATGTCTTTTTTGACACTGTAACTATTGTAGCTTGTAAATATATCTGTAGTTCTTTTTACGCCGGAAAGCCAATGCCCCAGTATTTGTTTTCTTTTTTATTTGATATATTTAAGCCTTCAAGGACATCTGGTAGAACCTGAAAGACACAGTGATTATCATTATAAACTTTTTTTGAAAAAAGTATATACTTTGACATACACAGTTACACACTGCAACAGGAACAACGAAGGGAAGGGCAAGAAAACACACGAATATTCGTGTGTTTTCTTGTCCTTCCCTTCGTTGTTCCTGTTGCAATCTGTTCATCATGGATTCCACACAGTTACATACACATGAACAGGACAGCATACACAGAGACACAAAATTGAGACATGCAGTCAGAATATACTTTGAAAATAAAAATGAATTATATTTAATCATACAAAGTAAAACACATACACACCTTTGGTATATTCACGTTTCATTCTATCATTACCTTCATGGGTATGATTTTTGATAACGTTTTGTTATCATTATTTAAAAAAAAGTCATTATCATCATTATTGCCATTATTATTATTAATGTCATTATTATTATTATTATATTATTATTACTATCATTATCATTTTTATTATCATTATCATTATCATTATTATTATTGTCATTATTATCATTATTATCATTATCATTATTATTATCATTATTATAATTTTATATAATAATAATATTAATAATTAATAATAATAATATAATAATTATTATTATTATTATTATTAGCATTAGCATTATTAGCATTATCACTATTATTATTATTAGCATTATCATTGTTATTATTATAATTATTATCATCATCATTTCATTATTATTATGATAATAATGACATTGATAATAATAATAATAATAAAGATGATTATAATATAATAAAAGTAGATAATTATGATAATGATAATAATCATGATAACAATAATGTTGATTATTATTATAATGATAAAAATAGTTAAAATGATAATAGTAATAACAATAATAAAAGTAGTAATAGTAATAATTATCATAATGATGATAATTATTATTATCATTAGTATTATTATCACTAATTCTTATCATTAACGATATTACTATTATATTACCCTTATCAATACTATCATTATTATTATTATCATTATTATCATCACCATTACTATCACCATTATCCTTTCCATCCCATCGTATATGCCATAAAGCTCATTTCCCTATAGCATTTGCAACGACTTTGCTCTGTGTCTGCCTCTTCTACCCTTGAAGGTTGTCTTGAGCCACAAAGAAGCTATTCTTGTGTGTAATAAAATAAACATATAAAGTTGCTTATTGTAATCAAAATAATAAACAAATAATTCCTGTATGTGTTGGTTCCCAGTGCTGAGACTATATATACATTAAAGTTCAGTCCTATTTTATTTGAATAAAGATATGGAAATATCAGATTTTGATTTCCTTTCCTGTGGCATCCAGATGAGAACAAATCGGAAAAAAAGAGAATAAGGTAAATTGGAGAGGAATAAAAGGTTAAATAGAAACTTGGAATTGATATGACTTAAGGAGGTTATTGGAACTGATGAGGACAAACTGTTATTCAACAATAATGA